GAGACCTGGCTGGAGGTGCTGGCCGCCCAGGGGAGACCCGGCTGGAGGCCAGCGCTGGAGTTTCCGGGTGCACTGGGCTGTGCCTCCTCGGGGTCACAGGCCCAGGAGGGGAGGGGCTGGTTCATGCGGTGCCATCAGGATCTGGCCCTGGAGCCCTGACCCTCTCCTCCATCCCTCTGCCCGGGCCGAGCCTGCCATTCAAGACCTGCTCCGCCCCCAGAGCTCCCCTGGGGCCTGGGCCTGGTGTCCCCACGTAATCAAGACGGGGCTGGATGGAGCCCGGGACCTCCCCGCAGCCTGACTGGGCCTCAGGCCCACCCTCCCGGGCCGCTGCTGGGGGGAGTGTGGGGGGGAGGTGACTTCAGGTGCAGCTCTGACCCGGGAGCCCCTACCGTTGTCGTCAAAGCCGTGGGTGATCTCGTGTCCGATCACCATGCCAATGCCCCCGAAGTTCAAGGCCTGCGGCTGGTCCTTGCTGAAGAAGGGGGGCTGCAGGATCCCGGCGGGGAACACTGCCCGGCGGGGGACACAGAAGCTATGAGTGAGCACAGCCTGTGCCCGGACCTCCAGGGTCCAGCCTTGTCATCCACGCCCGGGAGGTAGGGGTGGGGACTCCCCCCATTTCACAGGCAGGAAGCCGGGGCTCAGAGCCAGGGGCAGGGGAGGGGGTCGCAGGTCCGGGACCCAAGTCCGGGTTCTCTGCACCGTTCATGCTCCTTCCGGCCAAGGGCCGGCTGCCCGCCCTCCGAGAGCCCCCCACTCCCCCAAACAGACAGGGGAACGACCCCTCCAGCGGGTGACACGGTGCAGTTCCTGCCGGTGGGAGAGATGGCACCCTCTCCCCTTCAGAGAACGGGTGGGGGAGCCCCAGGAGGACAGGCAGGTGGCTCGGGCTCCCTTCCGGCACCAGCGGGGCTGGGGTGGGGTGGGGGGGGGTGGCCTACCAATCTGGTTCCGGTTTGGCGAGTAGAACGCGTTGACCACCGCAGCTCCGATGATCCAGCTGAGGAGTGAGCTGGTCACGTGGAGTCCTGTCTCCTGGGACCCTCCCTCGGGCCACCCTGAGGGCCCAATGCGACCGGCCATGCCCAGCACTGCCAGCAGCCAGGGTGGGGGCCGGCCAGTCTGGACACCTGGCTCCTCCCTGGGCCTGACCCCCCAGAAGCAGGGGTGGCTCTAAGTCAGACCCTCCACCTCCCCCACTGGCC